CCCCTTCTATTCCCTCATCGAAGTCATTTATGAAGAGATTGAAGAGTCCTGGGTAGAAACTTGTTAAGAAAGATCCAACTTAAAACTAAGGAGAAATTTTCTGATAGTGGCAATTAATTAATGGAATAGCTTGCCTCCCAGAGTGATGGGTGCTCCATCACTGGAGATTTTCAACAAAAGACTGGACAACCATTTATCCAGGATGAAGACTTCCTGCTTTGATTGGGGGGTTGGACTAGAAAACCTCCAAAGTCCCTTCCAGCCCTATGATTATCTGACAAATATGTAAACACAGGTAAGGAATATATAGAATTATCTGTCTCAATTTCCCTTGCAAATAAAATGTGTTTTGTACTTTTGCATAGATGGAACACCCCATGCATACAACCATTCAAGATTCTGTTAAGAATCCATTAACGTAAGGCCCTTAAGATTAATTGCTAGGCAGAACTCAACACAAACTACAGTTATTCTAATGAATTTGTACTCATAGATGGTAGGTGTTTGTATGTATGTATGTGTGTACATGTGGGTGTGGGATATATGCATATATAGGATGTGAATTATGTTACAGCATAGTTAACTGATGGTATTCCTTTAAAAGGTACAGTTACTTGTATAGATAAATTTGCTCTACTTGACCTTTCTGCAGCTTTCGATACCATTGACCATGGTATCGACTATGGGATTCTCCTGGGGGAACTTCAGGGGATGGGAGTGGGAGGCCTTGTGCTGTCCTGGTTCACTTCCTTCCTCTGAGGCCACTGTGTCAGTGTTGACAGGAGGGGAAAGATCCAGCCCTCACCCACTGCTTTATGCAGTTCTGCAGGGCTCAGTACTCTCTCTTCTCCTGTTCAACATGTATATGAAACCGCTGGGTGAGATCATCTATCAACATGGACTGAGGTATCACCAATATGCTGATGATACTCAGCTGTATGTCTCAGCCCATGGTGAGTTAGGTGATGCCCTGTCCTCCCTCTCAAAGTGCTTTGAGGCTGTTAGGGTCTGCATGGGGAGCAATGGGTTGAAAGACTGAGTGGCTCTGGGTTTGGGGTTCATTGGCTCAGTTGGTATTGGATGGGGTGGCATGATCCCAAACATCCTGTGCGTAACCTAGGGGTTTTCCTGGACTCACAACTCCTGCTTGAAGAGGAAGTAATATTAGTGGAAGTAATATTAAACTATATCTTCAACATTCCCACCCCCATGTTTTTTAAAGGTGCAGTCACAGCTGTTCCTTATAAAATTAATAGAGTTTGTTAATCTATGATCTTGAAAAGTTGAAGAAACAATGAGGTAGTTGACTGGTCATAAAACACAAACTGATTTGCCAGTATATAAACTTGCCCTATTTCTCAGGCAGGTTTCAGCAGCTGGCAGCACCTAGCTGATCTTGGAAATCTGAGAAGTCGAAACAGGGCTGGCCCTCTTTAATACCTGGACTGAGAGTGCTTGAAATTATAGAGATGTGAAACAAGCAAGGAAGTTTTTCTAAAGCCTGCTAGAAGGGAGGCATTGAGAAACCACTTCTCTTGGGTGTGGTCACCAGTCATTGAGCACAACCTGAGCACATATTTATTTTTTAATTCATCAGATATGGGATCTCTAGAAAGTATAACTACTGCTATTATAAAATTAACTTAATACTAAATACCCATGGAAAAATAATTAGTACTCTAATTAAGACATAGCTTTTAATTTTAAAAAAAACCTGCTGCAAATTACCAGTGCAGATTTTCCTCTGGTTTTGGGAAGGAATTCAGTATTCTAGAGTATTCTAGCCATGTTCTCCCTTTTTGATTCTCTCAGAATTTCTGTGTCTTTTAAAAATCCTCGATCCTAAATCTGCTGAAATTCTCATTTATTTTTTCCAAGGGCTTGTGCTCCTATTTAATATCCAGCTTGTATACCAATATTTTCCATTCTCATGTGAAAACAAGAAATCTTATTTATGTTTTTCTCTAACTTTTGTCACATCTTTATTTTTAAGCTGAAGCCAAATTGCACAAGTCATCACCAGAATCTCCCCCTTTGATTCTTTATCATAATTTAAAATGTATCTGTGATTTAGAATATCATTTCAAAAAATATTTGGACATTTTTTACTTTTCCCCCCATTACTCGGTATTCTGCAAGGGAATTCCTTTACACACCTTTAGCCAACAGTTATTTATATATACTTTTTTTTGCTCTTGAGTCAGTTTTGACTCTTGGTGACTACTTGGGCTAGTCTCTATATTCTAGCTTTCTTGGCAAGATTTTTGTAAGCAGCTTGCCACTGCCTTCTTCCTACAACAGAGAGAGAATGACTTGCCAAAGGCCACCCAGATAACTTTGTGCCAAAGGCGGGGCTAGCATCCCCAGTGCCTTAACCACTGCTGGCTCTTGGATATACTTGTTAATATGTATTTTGATTGGATAGGGCCAGTATTATATGAAAAAACTTACCGTATCATGCATTTGAATCAAATTTCCACAAGCATTCAAGCTTCAGAAAGATTTATTTTTTGAAGTGTCATTTACAGACACATTTAGAGCACTATATCCCATGTTAAAGTCGTGATATAAAAATATGAGTTTGCTGTTTCATGTCTTTTTGTCCAGTCATTATCCTGTTTCCTCCCCCTCTGTGTTACCATTACTTTGTTTTAAAATAGCTAACTTTCTGCATTTCTTCCCATCCATTGACTTTATTCATTTGTTTAAAGTACAAACTTCGTTTAAAGTTTGACAGGGCTTATTCCTTAATACCTGGAATGAGAGTGCTTGAAATTACAGGGCTGCAAACCTTACATAGTATTATAGTATTACATAGTACATATGTAGTAGTACATAGTACATACATAGTACATACATAGAATTATAATTTTCTATTTCTATTTAAATATCTTACCAATAACAACTTCATCTGGTCCCTTTAAACTGTGGCTTATAATTGAAAGAAATAGGCAAAGGAAAACCATGCATAAGGGTGGGGAAAGTAAAAGAGATTTAAAAGAGGAATGGTAAAAAACAAAGTTTTGAAGACACAATTGAGATCAAATGGGATACGAGCAGCATATAAATTTGATGAATATAAATAAATGAGTATGGATACACAAAAGTATTGTGTATTCTGAGAAGTGACCAGATTCCAGGAAGTAAATTGAAGCTACCCTTATTCAAAATGGAAAAACAATTTTAAAATGTGCCCATTTGAATAGAAAAGGCATGATATCTTTATACAATACTTCAATATTTGAAAGGTTATCTATAATGGTAGAATTATATCCACAAAAATATAGAGAGCCAATTAATTTAACCTAGCCACCAGGTTAGAAACTGGGAGACCGTGAGTTCTAATTCTGCCTTAGGTATGAAAGTTGGTAGTGTGACTTTGAGCCAGTCATTCTCTCTCAGATGCAACAATAATAAGGTTGTGGAAAAAGTAATAGGAAGGAGTATTAGGCGTGTTTTCTTTCTTGAGATATTTATTAAAAAATAAAGGTGGGATATAAAATAAATAAATAAATGATCCTATACATGGTAGATAAAGAGCTTATCTTCTAAATAAGTATATTTGTTGCAAAAACTACTGAATTCCAATCATAAGAAATCTATGCGATGTTGCATATTGCTTCTACTCTGATTTTATAAATCAACAATATGCATTTTTCTTTTCTTTTTCAACATTAAGCAATTTAAATTTTAAATGGGCTTTTTGTAACAAAGATAACACAGGAAGTGAAGGGTTGTCTTGAGTCATATTCTAAACCAATAGAAAATTTCAACAAAAGTAAACAACTAGACACATGCTTAATTACTAATGAATATATGCTAAGCATTCTTAAATGCTATGATATACATCAAAATTATATCTGATAAAATGTATTGTTTGTCTCCTGTTTCTGGTAATTTGTAATGTACAGTACTCCAAGTCTGCAGGCAAAATGATAATTCAACTTTCCTTTATTTTAAGAAAGAATTAAACAAAGTTACATTCACTCCCCATTTCTCCAAATCTAATTTTGGGGTTTTCACCTTATATTTTTATAAATGACATTTTCAGCAAGAACAGAAGCAGCAAAAGAAAAATAATTTGTAGTGAGCAAGAATAAGTCACTGTCCAGAGAGGAGCTTGTGTAGATCTGGGTCAACTTATATTAAGCAAACAAGTTTGTATCATCTTGTCTATATGTTAGGAATTCATGCTTGACAGGTTGGAACAGAAGTCCCCCTGAAATATTTGAAGGGCCAGAAAAACCTACTTCATAACTTTTATCACTTGGTCCATACTACAGGCAATGAAGCGTACATTATTCTGAGTGTGAACTTCAAATTTTTAAATTTTGCATGCTCAGCAGATTACAGTATAAAGTTCAGGGCCGTAATTCCCTCTTGGAAAGATCAGGTGAACTTTAGTTAAAACTGAAAGTAATCTTTCTGTAAGACATTGTCATATTTTGCTGAAATAAGCTGACGTTTATGCTTAGTGTTCTACAGTGGAGGAAGAAGCGACTCAGGAAAAGGAATATAGGCTTTCTTCTCTCAAAACCTATCTGTTAGATTATCCAATTTGGCCAATTTTCTGGCTTCGCATGACATAAAATCTAAACCCCGTGTAAGTTAAGGTTCAGAAAACCGAGAGCGCCCCGGGGCTGGCTTTGTCATTCGAAGCACGGCGAGTATGAATCCTTCCTTTCTTTAAATTATGCGACCTGTGTGGAATTTCGACCCGGCATACTTTCGCACCCAACTTCGCGTTGCTGTCCTATAGGTAGAAGTTAAAGGCAGCTGGGTAGACTTTTACGCCGAAAGGGACGACAACCATGAAACCTCGGGGCTTTAAGCGTTTGGTTTCTTAGAAAAGTTCTCCGGTGTTCAGAGAGGAAGCTTTCCCGCCGCTCAGTTATACCGAGCCCGGACTTCACACGGGAGCCTCAAAAACTTTGAAGATGAAAGAACACAACAAAGGGGGGGAGGGGCGGTAGAACCTGTTGCCCGGATCGCCACGGGCGACCGAACGCCCTGAGCCTGCCTGCTGCCTGGCTTGCAACGCGGGCAATGAACCGTCCGTCCGGGGAAAGCTGCCTGTCCTCCCCTCCTCCCCCCCACACGCCCCAAGGGCGGCGGGCGGCCAGACACGTCGCGCGCGGATTTCGGGGCGTGTGTGTGTACTTGCGCCTCCTGCTAACCGCTGCCCGGTGGCGCTGCTGAGCGGCAAAGGGGCACCGGGTAGCCCGCCTGGCCTGGCCTGCCCTCCCGTTCCTCCCGCAGCCGTCCGTTCCCCCCCCCCCCGCTCTCCGGCGGGCAGGGCGCGCGGCGAACATGGCGGCGGCCAAGGCGGTGGGGCGGGACACTCTACCTGAGCACTGGTCCTATGGCGTCTGCAGGGACGGCCGGGTCTTCTTCATCGAGTAAGACACCGGGCGGGAAAAGAAAAGAAGAAAAAAAAAAAAAACTAGGCAGGCAGGCGGCGGGGTAGGTGGGGGGCGGGGTTGCCGCTTCAGCGCGTCCCTTTTCCCTTTCTCTGCCCCCCCCCTCCCCGCTTCCCTTTCCTTCCCCGCCGACTTCTGTTTCCACGGGCTGGATTAACAGGTGCATGTTTGCCGCTTCTCCCTCTTTAGCGACCTGACCCGCGCAACTACTTGGCTGCATCCTCGCACTGGGGAGCCCGTCAACTCAGGCCACATGATCCGCTCAGGTGGGTGCCCTAAGCCGGGGCTCCTCGCGGAGAAAGAGCCGGCGGGGAGACGCTTCGGGGGAGGGGGAGGGTTGGAAGGGTGGGGGACCCCCCCCCACGCGCGTTTTCCCACCCTGGCCCGCCCCACGCTGGGTGTTTGTGTGTTTGCCTTTCTCTCTCCCTCTCTCCGGGGAAGGCGTGAGGGGGAGGATAACGACCTTTGTGTGGCTGGGAATTATGCTCGCTTGTCTCCAGGGCACAAACATCTCACTTCCCTCCTCTTGGCCACTTTCTTTCCCGGCTTTCTTCGCCCCCCCCCTCCACATTTCTCCTTTCTTTTTCTTCTAGATCTGCCCCGTGGCTGGGAGGAGGGATTCTCGGAAGAGGGAGCCAGCTATTTCATTGAGTGAGTATTTCTCACTTTCGAGGCATTTCGTTTTCACCCGCGACTAAAGCCGAAAGTCGTAGGATTTTTTTTTTTTTTTTTTTAAGGACGATTTGTTGCCACCGTTTGTTCGGTTTCCAGACATCTGACTTTCGTTCAATTGTCTCCACGTCACGGGTGGGGAGGAGGCGGGGAAGGGCCCTGTGTGACCGAAGTGAAAGAAATACTGCTTTTGTTAATGTGTAAGAGAGCGTGGATTCTGGCGCTGTTTTGAGATACCTTTTGTTCTGTTTTTTTCATCTTAGCACCTCAGGTGTGCCTGTTCTTTCATTTGAAACTTCTTTTGTGTTCTCCCGATACACGCAACAGGTTTCACCTTTGTGATTGTTTATATTGCTTGGAGGTTTCCGGCTGTTGAAGTGACTTGTGGACTAAATGTCAGCTATGCTTGGCCAAATAATTTAGTAATAGAACCTGTTGCCTGTGTTTGAGTTGAATGAAGTGTTACAGGGACCTTGGCAGAAGGCAGGGTCTTCCAACATGTGGATTGTCCCTTTTTAAGAGGTTTAGAGCAATTAAAGGTAGAAGCTATTAAATAATAAAAAGCCATTCTGATATACTGCAAGATGCTTGCTGAAGATAAGAAAGGGGATTACAAAACTCAGTGACAGCAGAACAATAACATTGAGGGAAAACATAATGAAATTCAAGCAGTGGCTTGTTTAGGAAAAAAACAAAGAGATCTAACAATTTTGTAGCTTCTCTATTGCAGAAAGGGAAGCAGTTGTTTTCTTGGAGAATAACAATTTGCAAGGCATGTTGTCTTGATATTTATATCTGTTCAGTCATTTCACTGTTCTGAATAAAGCAGAAATATTGCTGCTTCCTTTACCTATTCTGCTGATACATAGAGTTGAATCTCTGAAACTGTTTTGCTTTGTGATTTCCTTGTGGCACTCCAACCAGCTTCTTTGTGGCAATAAAACTTTGTTTTTCCTAGTGATGGAGACAAGGCTTGGTTTCTATATGGTACTAGTCTAAAAAGGTTGAGTGAGTAACACCTTGTCTCTGTCATGTCATTCTCTCTATCATAAAAGAAGTATTCTTCACATGATTTTTTTTTAGATGGAAGGTCATTTTTGAAAAGCTTGCATTCATCTTGACTGATATATATGCAGGATTATTTTTGCATCTATTCAGTACATGATACTGT